AAATAGTTATTGAAAGAAATTAATGGGGCCAAGGGATATTTAATGGATATGATCTCTAGGACAAGAAGATGAAATAATTGGTTATGGCAAGGGAGGGAGAGAATGGAAGAGGCACCCAGAGAAGGTTTGGTCTGGCATAACTTAATGTACTGCTTAGTGAAGGAATCCTAGAATACCCAATATGGAGGGAAGATAATGTATTCAATCTGAGGTATTAATGAACTAGCTAGAGAGAATGCAAAGTAAATAATTGGTTCTTAAAGGTGTGGTGCTCAGAATAGAGATCTGACCTAGAGAGAGATGAGATTGATTTGTGTATTGATATAAATTGATAAGTGTAGATAGAGAAATACCATAGAGTAAAAGGAGAAGAGGGGTTGGGACAATGCTTGGGCCAGGCAAGGAGCCAGAGTAGTGATGAAAATCTGGCATAAATGACTTTAAAGAATGTTAGATGTGATGGTCAGGGGAGACACGGGACAGAGGGATGTGGTATTTTCATTTTTATTGCAAAAGAGGAGAATAAGTTTTAAACCAGGAAGGAAAGTCTCATTAGGGAAAAGAGAGGCAAAGTTTGTGAAATAGCGGATGACAGGATCTAAATTATAGTTGAACTTCTGTCTGATGATCTCAATTACTTTTTCCTTTGAAGCAGGAAGCATGATTATCTGATAAACATGTGGAGGTGGTGTTTGACAATGGGGCATGTTTGAAAGGGTTATTGTAGACTAGGAGCATAAACGGAACAGAGAGAAGTAGTAGGAGGCGGTGTGGAAGGCTCATTTGAGGTTGGTGCTCAGGAGTATTTAGAAGGAGAAATGTTTCCTCTAGTGACTGGATCCATCCATGCTTGATTGCTCAAGTGAAGGTGCAGAGGAGAAGAACAGATGAGGAATGTGGAATTTTCAAAGTGAACTTGAGCCAGTTGTGTGAACTTTCTGGTGCTCCATTTCTTCAACTTTGAAATGGTGATAATTATAATATTTTCCACAAAAAGTGGTTTGGTTGATTAAACATAATAGCATGTGGCACAGCACTTGGCTTGGGAGGTGTTCCATATACAAAGCATCTTACGTCCCTTTTAGATCCCTGCCTCAAATGTATACTTTATCACCAGTACTCAATACATACTGTTTCTCAACCTAGCTAAACGGACATTTTCCTCCATCCACACTTGCCGCCATGTGTCTTTGTCTTTTCCCCTCAAATCCCATAGTTGCTCAAATGTGGCCATCTTCTAAGACAGTGGTACTCAACCTTCCTAATGCTGTGACCTTTAATACAGTTCCTCATGTTGATGGTCTAGACAGTGGTTCTCAACCTTCCTAATGCTGTGACCCTTTAATACAGTTCCTCATGTTGTGGTGATCCCCAACCATAAAGTTATTTTCATTGCTACTTCATAACTGTAATTTTGCTACTGTTATGAATCCTAATGTGCTGATGTGCAGGATATCGGATATATAACTCCTGTGAAAAGATTGTTTGAACCCTCAAAGGGATCGTGACTCACAGGTTGAGAACCACTGTTTTAAGGTAACCTTTCCTCATCTTCAAGCCAGTTTTGCTATTTTGCTGCACTATTTTTCTATTATACTTCAAAAATATTTGGAGCCTGATTATATTTAGTTGTTGGCTTTATTATAAATCATATCACTGTACTGTTTTGTTTAACACACTGTTATCTTGTTTTAAAGAAAACATTCCTATCCAGGTGTGGTAGCACATGCCACTGCCTCCTAGTGCTTGGGGAGCTATGATGGGAGGATCCTGAGTTTGGCTAGCCTATGCCACATAGTGAGTCTTAGGTCTGAACTAAATAATGAGAGCTTGTCCCCCCCAACAAGCAAACAAAGAACAAACAAAAACAAAATCAAACAAAATGCCAACTGAACAAAGTATCTCAATAATATGAAATTTCCAATACAAGTGTGAGTTCTTTTTTGTTTTTGTTTTTGGTTTCTTTTTGTTTTTTTGTTTTTTTTTTTGAGACAGGGTTTCTCTGTATAGCTTTGGAGCCTATCCTGGCATTCGCTCCGGCGAGCAGGCTGGCCTCGAACTCATAGAGATCTGCCTGCCTCAGCCTCTGCCTCCTGAGTGCTGGGATTAAAGGCATGCGCCAACAACGCCCAGCTACAAGTGTGAGTTCTTTAAGGGAAGGAAACATAGCAGTCAGCTTTTTGTTCTTGTCTGGACTTCTAATGGTATTCACCATACTTGTGAATTTTAACTGATTTGCAAGGGAGCATAAACTATGCTCCTATGGTCTTCAAAGCCGGGGTTTACTGTCATATGAGGTGAACAGACAGTATGATAGGGTGCTAGAAAGTTATTATAATTTGTATTTATTTTATCACAGCCTTTGAAATTCATATTCCATAGATTTATAATGTCCATAATACAGATTTACAGCATATACAAGGATGCATAATCAATCAATAAATATATATGTTCATATGCACAAACATAAATTCAAGACTTTTTGATCCTGAGGTTCCAGATAAAACATTTTCAATCTTCAGTGTTCTAATGACTGATAGAAATTTGACCAAGGCAGCTGGCCAGAGAACTGTGAGCCCGTAATCCCTTGAATCAGAAAGGTGAGGAATTGAGATCAATGTGGTCTCCATAGCAAGACCCTGCCTTGTGGGGGAAAAGAAAGAAAAAGAGATTTAATCACCTCAAAAATCAAAGAAACTGGTTTTTTAAATTACTTCCTATGCACCACACACTAAGCTTGATGGTGTACACGCATTAAGCCACCCAAGTGTCAGCAAAGTTTTCTAAGGTAGGGTTATCAGGCTCATATCACAGAGGAAGGTGCTGAAGCCTAGAGAGGTAGACTAAGGCTGTAATGCAAGTTATGAAGTCAGGATGTAAAACAGTATCCGACTGAATCCAAAGCTGAAGTTTTGGGGAAGATTTTTACTTCACAATTGAGTTTCAGTAATGGATGTGAACTAATCAGGCTATTGATTTCTTCTTCCATGAGTTTTGATAGGTCCCTTTCCAAAGGTGAATCACCTCAATCAGTGTACAGTTTTGTACAAGTGCCCATATCTTTTATGCAGATACCACGTAATGGATGTCTTCCTACTAGTTATTTACCCAGAGGATTATGAAAATCAGATAGAGATTTACAACCTAGAAAATCATCTTAAGAAAAATTAAGTAATCAAACAACATGATTATATCTGGTACTTATCTCCCTTTAAAATGAAAAGAAATTATAGAGCTCTTTCTTAAAGAATTGTCTCTAATTTCTAAGGCTGAATTTAAAGTAACACATGCTTTCTGATTTTTCAGTTGTTTCTGAAAATATGACAATTCAAGAAAGAAGTACAACTGTTTCACAGAAAATAGACTTAACAACTCCTCCCTCAATTACCGAGCTAAACCCACAGAAGACTGTGCATCCATCCACACTGTCACCAATAAGCGTGCCTGCTTCTACAATCAATCATGCAGTCATATCATATTCTAATACAACACCCTCACCTCTAGCAACAGCGAGTGCATCAAAAGATTTAAAGACATCTCCAGCCCAGACAACTACATTTTCAGCAGATGACTTGTTTACTTCAACAGCCATCCCTCTGCCTACCCAAAGTACTCACATTCATACTGCTACTGACTCCATGACAGTAACTCAACACCTACATTTAGGAAAAACAAGGACAACAACAATGGTGGAGGCCATGGCTACCGACACCTTTTATCCAACTACAGCTACTAATTTCTTCAACACATCTGAAAGTACCAAGAATTCTATTGTATATGAAACTTTAACAACTAAATCCCAGTCAGCTGTTGGGAAGATAACTTTATTCTTGACGACTGACCCAACATCCATGTCTCCAACATCTTGCCACAAACACAAACCCACAGAAGTTGCTGCATTCCCTACCTCCAAATCTGGGCAAGACTTTCTTGTATCTTCAACTGCTGGAACCGTGTCTTGGCCCACACTAGAAGAGACTTCAGCTATTACTACTAACATTGGGATTGCATCAACCTTCCCATCAGAGTCTTTGCTCACCTCCACAACTGCTCCCATGAATTCTGTGTTTCCTGGAAATCAGGTAGCACCTACCTTGTCAACAACTGATGTGGAAATGGCATTCACAATCCATTCAGTGTTGCCGATGAAGACCACATCTGCCCTAAGAACAGTGTCGGTTTCGACGAATTTCCAAGATGTCTTTTCACCCAGCATGGAGGATGCTATACCTACCTCCATGCCTAAAGAGACCTCTTCTGTAGACTTTTCTTCCATTACATCCTCTCTAGTAACTAGAATTCAGAGTGAACAGACAGTTATTGATACTGAGAGTACACATATACCCTTAACTCCAAGAACCAAACTTTTCCCTACATTGGCTGAAACTTCACTCTTCCCTACCATGGAAGGGCTAGTATACACCCAGAATACACCCACAAGTGATGATCCCATGATCCCTTTGACTTCTATGAAGTCATATTCTACATATAATGCATATGAATCAGGTCTCACATCTGTAACTGATAAAACTGGCTATCCGTTCTTCCCCAATGAGACCCCTTGGACTTCTAAGCCAGATCAGACCCTGTTGCCCTCTACGAATACAACCACTATACCTACATTCACGCCTAATGATAATCTCACATCATCATTCCAAGACAATACTACTAATATTGATAATTCATACAGGACTACGGATATCACCATGCTTGAAGCATCCACAGGCAACATAGGCACCACCAGCTCTGATGCTACTACAGCCAGGTATACAACAACTCTTTTCAAGCCAACATCCCAGTGGCTTAATAATTTCTCCAATGTTGATGGAATCACATCTATAACTAGTCAGCCCGAATCTAAACTCACTACGTTATTATTGAAAAGCAACCCTGTGCCCTCAGTAGCTGCAAATGAACTTCCTTCAATATCAAGGGAGACAGTTGTTCCATCAAAGGATATGTCTACCCTTGCTGACATTAAAACAAATTTTTCTACTGAGAAGAACATATCTGAGACAACACAAATAGATACAAATGGTATGAGCACATTTGGTGATACTATGGCCCCTCTACCAATGTCTGCAACAACACAGAAAGTCTATACCACTGTAACAAAGGAAATAGATTCCCATTATCCTAAGGTAAAATCAACTATAGCAGCAGTAGCTGAGGTTTCTCCATTTTCCACAATGCTGGAAGCAACAGATGAATCAGCACAAATGGTGACAGCTTTTGTCACTGTTTCCCCCTTTTCAGATATAGAAAAGTTGACTACTGCATTGGATAATGAAACTGCAACTACTGGGGTGGGAGTGAGTTGGCTTTCAACAGAATTGATGAAAAGCACGCCTAAGAGTTCATACAATGGAACTACAGAAACCTTTAACTCTACCCATACCTCTACAATACACTGGACTTCAGAGACATCTGAGGGGAATTCAGCTTCATCACTCATTTCTGTGAGCACCCAGACACTGCCTGAACTTCTGGGTTCCTCAACAAGGATAATGGGAGCTACTTTTTCCACTATTCCTTCACAGAAGACAGCTGTATCTTTGTCTGCTTGTATCTTGCCTCCACAGACTACAGCTACTCATTCCTCAGCAACCCCTCTGTCTACTACACACAAGTTCTCACTGCCAGTTAATGTCTCTACTGTCACCTCTCCTGCCACTACTATGATGGTTTTTGATGAGACCAAGGTGACCCTGTCTCAGCCTTCTACCTTGGTCAGGGATTTCACTCCATCTGTGTTCTCAATTGGCTCACCTCTACCAACAGTGACAATGGTGCCAACAGTGAGTTCAACAGCTTCCACAACCAGTGATATTATGCCTACCCACAGAGACTCACTTCATACCACTTCAGAGGTCACAACAATCTCTTCCACAACAGCACTCATGGCAGTTTCTTTTCTGAGAGAGACTTTGGTATCCTCACTGAGACCTTCCACTCCTGTGATAACTAAGGCTACAACCACCCTTCCCTCCATCTCAGCTGACTTAGTAAGTCCATCCATACACACTATTGTCTGCTCAAGGCCTCCCTCAAACAACATTACTCTTGTGTCCTCTACCTATGTTAGCTTGACTACATCTGCATCAGTAGCAACACCATCTGTATCTCAAGTTGAGGATTCAACTCATGTTTTTAGCTTTCCCTATACTTCTAGTAGTAGTGGAGATGTTGGTATGGCTTCTGGACCCACAGAGACATCTGCTGGTGGTGAGACTATGTCCCCCCACACCTCTGTTAATGATCTTACTACTTCAGTAGATACCAAATCTACCACATATTTTGTAAACACACCCATCTCCACCCAGTTGCCAGTTGCAACCTCTATGTTATTTTCTGAGAAAGATAAAACCCCCAGAACTACAATGTTGGCAGAAATTTCCACATCCAAGAATTCCTTTATTTTGGAGTCCCAAAGAACTTTCTCTTGGGAAATAACAGACACAGGATTTTCTGAGACCACAGAAATCTCCAGAAAACAAACACATTTGCCTTCAGAGATTCCACCTGGGAATCTAACTTCTGGGAATTTAGCCACATCTACTTCTGGGAGAGTACCGTAATAGGTGTTCACGTTTCAGAAGGGTTGACTAGTCTTGAGGAAACAGAACTCCCATCACAAGTTCAGACGATAACCAAATCTTTGTCTCCTGATAAAGAAAGGACAAGTGCCCTTTCAGAATACCCTCCCAGGACTGTGGGAAAGCTGGTGAGTTCCTTTCCTGTGACTCTTCTAGACACAGGTCACCAGGCTACTTCATCTGTAGATACTACAACTTCCAGGACAGCTAGAACATCACATCCTGTGCTCATCAACATAACTCTTTCACACCTGCTTTCACTTACGACGCAACCTGAGTCAACATGGATTGCTTCTTCCACTTCTGAAAGCACACAAACTTTCCCTAAGTCCATTTTTCCTTTCACAACTGGACTACTCAACACCAATTTTACAATGATAACTCTTGATGGCAGCACTACAGTCTTTCATGTTCCAAATGAACTTACAAATTTTCCTAGGGAGACCTCTATGGAAACATCTACTCCTATTTACCAGATGTCTTCATTGCCACTCAATGTCACTGACTTCACTCCTAAAAAGGTTTCTGACACTCCTACAATACTAATGACTAAGTCTTCCAGAACAATAAACTCAGGCTATTTGAAAAGTGTCTCTATAGGTACTTCTGGGCTTAAGTCTGAGAATTCTTCAATGCCAGTTAATAACTCTAATTTCTCAACTACAGTGGTTTCTTCTAACACTTCCACAAGACTTAAGGCATTCTTTACTTCATTGTCTTCACCTCCCCCTAAGACTACTGAAACCACCCAAGCATCAACATTGGATATCACACCTGTGCCATATGTTGGACCTACTTCACAAAGCACAATGGTTTCCTCTACTTTCACTAATTCAGAAGTGGTAGAAGTGCCATTCAAGAATTCAACTGCACCTGTTTCCTCTCCAACAGAGCTAGATTTTTCATCTGAGAAAACTATTTCAACCATTATTATGGCTAGGTCATTGACTTCAGTTATGGGTGCCACTTCCTCCTCTCTGCTCAGTTCTAAGAATACTGAAGCTATTTCTTTCATCCCAAAGACCACCTTTTCTTCGTTACTTCCAACAACACAGCAATCATCACAAGAAAACGAGGCTACCACTCTGGACATATTGCTTGGGATTACCAACAATTCTCTACCTACTGAGAGCAGTGATGGAGTGACAGAACTCATTAATACCTATTCTAGAACTACCATCCCTGCAAGTGCTCTTTCATCTACTCCTTCAGATAGTTTTTATACTTCCTTGAATATTCAGGTTTCCCCATCTTTGACTAACTTCAAAGGCACCCCTAGACCTACAGAAAGTGTAAAATCCACACTGGCATACCTTTCCCATGATATAGTAAAGATGACTTCCTTATCAGAGAATATTTTGCTAACCAGAGAACCAACGAAGAGCAGTGCATGTGTGCATACTCCTGTTTTATACCCTTCATGGACCCAATCCACTGCAACTCCAACTTCTTTGACATCATTTCTTTATTCACGTCATAGCACTGAGGCCAAGTTTCCTCTTACATCTCAAATGGTTGAATTTCCAGCACAGGGAACAAGAGTCACTCCTAGTATTACCCAGGCTCTACTTACAACTTCCAGAAACACACCCATAGGTGAAGACTCACAGTTTCCAGTTTTCACAACTAATGTAATGACACAAAACAGAATGGAAACAGAAAATCTTCACTTTAGTCCTGGGACTTCGTCAACATCTCAGATTGGTCTGGTCTCCAGAGATAGTACAGTGAAGCCATCAGTTTTCACATCAGAAAGCCTTCCTACTTTTGGGCTTTCTGAAAATACTTCATTATCAATGTCTTCCATAGTGCTCCCTACCACATTGGCTGCCATTTCCAGGGCTACCTCACCAACTTGGAGCTTATCTAGTCTCTCTTCAGACTCTCTGATATCTGTATCTAATCCACCACATCTTCTAATTTCATCTGCAGGAGAAATGGCAAAATCCACGTTTCCAGCCTCTGACACAAAAGCAACATCCCCTAACTTTACAATAGTACCCTTTTCTGATGGAAGCACGATACCCACCCCAAACACTCCTGTAGCTACACTGGGCATCATCACTGCTGACTTTTTTACTTCTCTGCCATTATCTACAAAATCTAAAGGTGACAGTCCACACACTTCTACATCCCTTGAATCATCCCCCCGGAATACTGTGGCTGACAGCTCCAAGACTGCGTCTGAACCCATGTCCTTTAGCAGAATGAGTGTAACACCTTCTACAACCAATCACAACCTACCTATTGGTTCTCTGTCTGTATCTAGCCCTGTGAAAACATCCCTGTGGAGTAAAGTCCCAGCTACACAAGAATCCCACACTTTAATTCCTCCTCAATCCACACTGGAATCTGTTATGAATATAGCCACTACTACATCCACAGCTCTAGAGGCCTCATTCCCACTGATGTCTACTGAGATGACACATCCTTCCACAGCAACTGGGTCTTCACTAATCTCTTCACCTTTTAAGACAAACTGGATAGACCCCACATTTTCCTTTCTATTTACACAGGCATCTACTTCACCAATTGCTACAGCGTCTACAGGTATTTTGTTCATATATCCTTAACAGAGGACATGAACAATGAATGGGCTATTTGTTCTCAAAGTCTTCTGAAGGCAGAAAATGGGGGAGGAGGATGCATGTGTTTTTTATCTCCTTAAGATCTTTGGTACAAGTACCCTGTCTAAACACAGAACTCTCTATATTTCTTGTCTTTACTTAAATATGTTACAAATGGTTCTTTTCAACCAGGATGGCGTTTTGAAGCATTCCTTACAATTGTTTTGTTCTTGATGTCCTGACTGTGACTCTGCTCAGGAGAATACAGACTAGTAACAACATCTTTACCCAGTAATAAGATCATACTGGGGATGGGAGGACTGGAGAGATGACTCAGTTATTAAGCACACTGTCTGCTCTTCCAGAGGTCCTTGTCCAGCACCCACATGAGGGCTCAAACCCTCTGTAACTATAGTTTCAGGAGATCTGATGCACTTTTCCCACACCATCTCCCCATCCCACCCCTAATCCACTCCTCAGAGAGTGTGAGGCCTCCCATGGGGGATCATCAAAGTCTGTCACATCATTTGGGGCAGGACATAGGCCTTCCCCCTGTATCTAGGCTGAGAGAGTATCCCTCCATAGGGAATGATCTCCAAAAAGCCCAGAACAAATGATCTTAAGACATAGCATTTAATGTGGCTGTTGAATGAGCTAGAAATCAGTTGGCCAATGAAAGTAGACAATTGAGGAGATTTGAGGCAAGTCTGTGTGGAAACTGAGTAGAAACCCAGAGAAATGGCCACATAAACAAACCAAAGATGGGATGGTAGCACCTTTCATGTTTTGCTCTTGATTATGTAGCCCCAAACGCCAATTCTTGATGTTAAACTATGCAAAATTTAGTAATGAAAATAAATCATTGTTTTCTTTGCTTTACAATGGAAAGCACTTCTGATCAAATTTTCAGAAGTCAGATTCCTTGATGTAAATAACTTAGATTAATCTGTTTATTTTTCATTACAGTTTCCTTCTACAACACCAAGATGAGCTTCTCTGTCTTTGATGAAGAGCCAAGAGTCCTTATTACCACTGCTATACATGAATTTTCAAAAGATTGGGTAAAATGTTTAAATATTTATGGTACTTATTGGATACATGTGGCCTAGACTGGGTAGATTGAAAGTAGACTCCATATTCTATTGAGAGTCCATTTCACAGATAATCAGTTTAGATTGTTTTTGCTGCACATGTATTTACTCCGTGGGCAACACTCTGAAGATGCATGCAATCTCTTTCATGGTAGCAGTGTTGAAAGCTTCTATGAGATGTTATTATTTTCATTTGTTGAGGTCTGTACATTTTCCTCCACAGACACAAATTTTGAGTCATTGCCAAATTTTCCTAGTTGGGGGAAATAGAACAGTGATGACAAAGTCTATGGCGTAGTGTTTATGTAACTTTATTTTCTGTACTTTATTTTTTTCATCTGCAACACAGTGAATATTTTACTTGTCCTTAAATTTTTTGATAATAAAACTAATGCATGCTATACAATTGAATTTCACATGAAAACACCCTAAACAGACAATGCCTGTCCTCTACTGCTCTGCTTAGTAAGTTAAGGAATAGTCTATGAGATTTTTCTGTACAGTTATGGGTGTATGTTCTTTCAGAAAAAAGAATTAATATCATACTAATTGTGCTACCCTTTAAATTGCTCCCTTGCTAGTTACCTGTGGATTTTTTCAACTCTGGGGAGCAAAACCAAATCCTTGTGCAGACTAGGCAAATATCTTACCAATAACACCAATAACAATTTACTTTGTATATCTGAGCATATTTGTGATAGTGGATATAGCTCTGCCTCATACAGTTTAGCAGAGTTATAAGATTATTTTTTAAATTATTTTTTATTAGTTCAAATTATAAACAAGCCTGCTTCACATGTCAATCCTTGTTCCCTCTCCCTCTCCTCCTCCCCTACCCCCCACCAACCCTCACTCCATCCTCCCTCTGCTCCCCAGGGAGGGTAAGGCCCTCCATAGGGGATCCCCAAAGTCTGTCATATCATCCTGGGAAGGGCCTAGGCCCTCCCCCATGTGTTCCAACTGAGAGAGCATTCCTCCATGTGGGATAGGCTCCCAAAGTCCTTTCTTACTCCAGGGATAAATACTGAGCTACTACCATAGGCCCCATAGAGTGCTGAGGCCTGAGGCATAAGTTTTACTATATGTCTGTAAGAGACTTTTATTTCATTTTCAATCTAGATGTATATTGGTAGTAGGCATTTAAGTTGTTTATATATTTTTCTCTATTGTAAACAGTTCCAAAAACAATGTTCTTCCAATTATTTCAGAGATCTTTGAATATTTTTATTGGATTAATTTTTAAGTTTTTAATCACTGGATCAAAAGTCACGAACATTTAACATTTTAAAAGTTAACATAAAATGATCTTTAGATAAGCAACCATGCCAGCGTGCACCTTAGGCCCAGCAGTGAATGATTATATTGGTTTTTCTGTTCTCCATTAACACTTATGTTCAAGTGTGTATGACCCAATTCTAAGTGCTTCAAGATAGTAAGTGTTTCAGAGGGTTCAGGCTGACTTACAAACACACACCAACTGCATGGCTTTAAAGCAGCCGTTTTTAATCTCCCAGTTCTCAGCGGAAATCAGGGTAGGGTAGGAAAGCCTTAGAGGGCCATGCTAAGACTTCTCAGTGTGGCCTTCTTGATGTGCCTTCAAATGGTGTTTCTTCTGTGTACCTACACCTCTGCTTTCTCTTTGTCCTCTTATAAGGATACCAGTTCTTATTGGATTTGGGTTCCACATTTAACTTTAATAACCCCCAATGGCTTTATAGACAAATATGATCAGATTGCAGATTAGGGCTTCCATATCTGAAGTTAGGTTGGAGGACCCCTTAGCTCCTAATAGTGTGTAAAAATGTTAACTGAAAAACTGGAATAGGTTTGGAAACATTGAGGTCACTGAAATGACAACCGCAGTTCACATTGTCCCAAGTGACTTCCTTGAGTTAAAACAGAAGAATGGCCACACAAGCACTGACCATCTCTTTTCTTTTTTTCTTTTACAGTTGAATTCTAGGTTTCAAAACAGTGAATTTTCTCTTGCTAACTTGGCTATTCAAATAAAAAACAGGTTTGTAAATGGTGTCTTTTGTGAGTTGAAGGGAAATTGAGGGACCACCTGGGTCTGTGAGTTTCCTCTTGCTGATATCTAGGAATGAAGAACACATTGGTCTCACTGTAAGTTGTAAAACCAATGGAAGAACAAAAGAAAACAATACAGAGGGGAAAATAGTGAAACCAGAGACTCATTTGCAGCACCCAACTCTCAGTGTAACAAACCCAATTTCAGGAGAGTGAAAAAGCATCACACAAGAACGGCTTCAGCCCATTTAGAAACCTTCTGATCCTAGGACTCAGATACCTCTCTCTACGTGCCCCCTCAGAACACTGCTATGTGTGGCTGCCCCTTCGTGTGACCGCCTACTTTCTATATATTGGCTCTGTCTTCACTTAAAATGTTCACTAGTTCACAAATGCTGTTCACAGGGGCTCCGCCCTCATTACCTCTCAAAGAGCTCAATATCTAATATTATCTCATTAGGCTTCAACATAAGAATTTTGATTAGATACAAAAATTCAACACCCACAAAAGATGGACAGCAAATAGGAGATATGTGGAGTTTCCAACATTGTTTTAAAAGTCACATGTTGTTTTTACTCAATGTAAAAGTAATTTTGCCATTGTAAAATCTATGTAGAAATAATATGTAGAAATCTATGATATGGATATTGAAAATCTATAAAACCTACATTTTCCAACCCTTGAAAAACACCTCTGGGCATCAAATATCATGTATTCATCTAGTTTTTAAATGTATTTAGTAAGAGAGTTCTTTATATACTGTTTAAGAACTTTTTTCTAGTTTCATAAGAAATCATGCACATCTTCTATGTCATAATATAAAAGCTAGCTTATTCTCTTTTATTTTCTTCCTTTTTCTTTTTTTAAATTGAATGTTTTTGAGATAGGGTCTCACTGTGTATCTCTGGCTGTCCTGGAACTTGCTATGTACACTCAGGCTGGTCTCAAACTCATAGAGATCCACCTACTTTTGCTCAGGGGTAGTGGAATTAAAGGCATGTACTGCCACTCTCAGCTTAGCTTATTCATTTTAATAATTGCATACATATTTGAGTATTTCCCACCATTGTACATGTATTTTTAATGCACTGTTGCTGAGTAAAAGTCTCACAACCACTTTAGTATGCAAATAACGATCAAGCTCACTTCAAGGGTCCCCTTGGAGCTCCAGCACTGTTGGAATTCTGCTGCCTCAAATCTGTCATTAACCTTATCTTGTAATGCATGCATTTGTGCTACATTTCATTCTTCTATAATTTTGTGATGTTTTTTATACAGAAAGACTTCTGAAGAAGAGATGGCTATGTACAGACATATTGTAAGTAATTTTCAAAGTGAACCTACTCGTGACCCATTCTGAAAATGATTAGCCATAAGTAAATACCTCTTCTTCCTAGGAGTATATTATCAGGCAAGTTCAGTGGTGAAAGTTGAGGGTCAAATTATTCCCTTCAGGACTGGCACAAGGAGCTATCAAAGAAAGCAACCCTCTGTTTCTTCTGAATTGACAGACAGTTCTTGAGGAAAATTTTGTGGGCAGAGTGTGTGGAAGGCCTCAGGGATCACAAATGGTAGGATAATTTCTTCATTGTGGACAACTCACAGAAAAGCCTTACTCTTCCAAGATGCAACTGTTGGTACCTTTGCAATCCACATAACAAATCCAAATTCCCCCTCTACTATGTACTTGTAGTTAGAGTGCAGCAAACAAGCTCCCATCTTCTTTGACCCAAATTCCAGTATTCACTTTAGCTCCTCAAACCTGTGCAGTGGTACACTCTAAAATGGTTAGAAACCACACAGCTTTCAAGGCATGTAAGTATGAGATAAATATTTTGACTATATGAAATACAGTAAACTCAATAGTTCATTCTAAGTCATCTGCCATCATTTAAAATACTTGCTATAAACAACTGTCAGAATTTAAAAAATGCAACCCGCAATATAACTGACATAACTAACACAATTTAACTGAAATGTCTGTAAATACTGTGTGTAAACGCTCTCATGTGATAATCTGCCAAAGCGCCTAGTTCCTTCTCACTCTGACTGTGGGACCTGGGGCAAATGGCTCAACTTCTCTGTGCCTCCATTGCCTTATTTGTTAGATGAACAGAACTAACTAGTATCTATTAAGTGTTCACTCACCTTAGGATGATGAAATGTTCTGTTTATCATTACCAGCATGTCAGTGTCCAGAAGGCTTCGAGGGTGATGCTGAGTAGACCATTAACATCCCCGAGAGCCAGCTGTTTCATCTAGAAAGTGGAGTGACAGTCCTAGTATTATCCACTCTTCAGGCTTGGATTGAAGACTAAACACATTAGTGTGCTTAAGGGATATTTGAAGAAGGTGGTGGTTGTGTGAATGTAAAGAATAATTATGGTTTTCTTGTTAATGATAAGCCCTCTATTTAAAATGGATGTTTGTTCAAAGATTTCAGTGACTGTCTTTTTTTTATTTTTTTTGCATCGGTTGGAACAGAAAAAGGGGCAAGGAATGGCTACAATTTTTCATGTACCATACAGGTAGGAGATAAGTTTGCTCATAGCTGGTACATTTAGTTCTGATTTGCCTTCCTTTTAATTCTGTATGTGCAATGTGCAGCCTTTGGGTCAGAGTTGTCAGAAGGAGATCAAAGTACCTGGTGGCTATTTCACAGCTGCTCTAATTAGGCTTTTTGCATTCACAGGCTAAGCTGTTTCCGTTGGTCACAGCATAGCCTTAGCAGCCTGTTTACTGCCCGTTTGTAGAGAAGAGGAAATGGGGTCCAAAGTAGTTGTAATTTGGGGATGCGGAAATAAGATGTTTGTCATGGTCAATAAGGTCAAGGAAATGCTGAGAAACCCCAGATAGTGTTCACACTCATGGGCCAGATCCTCTTGGAATGATAAGTGCTGAACTGAGAGGCAGCTGCAAGCAAGGAGGAGAGGTTCAAACAGAAGAGTCCTCTTTATAGTGGAAATGTGAACTCAGAGAAGAGATGGGCTCCAATCAGAAGTGGGAGGATGACTGTAGTTTAATTCATCACCTATAGGTCAGGAAAAGGATAAAAATTCTTTTCTTATTTGCCATGTGGAGGAACTTGACATAAAGGCCAGGGCCTCTAACTTCCAACAATTGTTAGCAAGCTCTGTGAATATGTTCATCAAAAGCTATATGCAAAAATGGAAACGGAAAAAAAAGATGTAGGCAAGTTTGTGAGTCTGAAATATTCTTCCTAGTAGAATACTAGAGTAAACTAGAATATTCAAAGAACTTATTGTAGAGAATGAGGTTAAGGACTGCTCTATTTAGTGGTTAAAAATGCTTGATAAATTTCACAGGAAATGTTATCTCCCTAAGTCTCAGTTCTCTCATCTGTAGGATGGGAATCACGACATCACTATCTCATAAGGTTTTTTGAGGATTAAATGAATCAAAACCTGTGGAATGAGAAATCCACAAATGTTAGCTATCATTATCATCATTATTAGTCTTTTGTAGAACTAAGCCTTCGGCAGAACACTTCTGTATACACTAATTGGACATGTGCCTATTTGCCTTATTGTAGTAATGATGGATGAATTGAAGGACCAGAACGATAAAAGGTTTTCTCTGAAATAATAACTCCTGAGTTATTCTTCCCTATTAATTATTACAAACTCCTAGAGAAATCTCCTGGATAGGCAATTTCAACATAATACAAATGTTGTAGACCATTGTTTTGAAAATAGGTTTTGAGTTGTCCTTTTTGGATGGATGCAAGAAAATTTATTAGAATATTTCCCTGTACTATCTTCAATCATTTCTCAACACCTATCATTTAGTAGATATACAATATTCAATATTTATGACCTACCAATGAGGGCAGCTCTATAGAATGTTAACAGCACTGGCCAAATTGCACTCTGTTGACCTGCCAGCAATGTTTCTTTTTTTGCCTTGTTTGTAGTTGTGCCTGTTGGGTAATTTTAAAAGTCAACTCCTCTTTGGAATCAGTAGAACTGATTAGCAGGATCCGAACGAAGATACATGGGAATCTCACACACGTGAACTTCACACAAGATCAATTGACTCTACTGGTAAAGTCTGACCATGTTGTAGTGGAAAAGCTAGGTAATTCTTTTGGCAGGGTATTTACGTATGAATTCACTTTTCTTGTTGTAAAACTCAAAGTAAGGACACTTAAGTTCAAAGAGAAGAAAAGGCTTATTTATTTATTTATTTATTTATTTATTTATTTATTTATAGACCAGGTCTCCCTCTTCAGCCCAGGGTGGTTAGGAACCTGTTATATAACCCAAGTAAGTCTTTAACTCATTGAAACCGTCCTATCTTAGTCTCTGTCTCCTAAGTGCTGGATGCTGGGCTTATAGGTATGAGTCACTATGCCCAGCCAAGAAGTCATCTTTGCACATAAACTTATGCACACATGTCCTGATGACTCTTCTACCTTTAAGAGCTTAGAAATGAATAAGAGACTTTTCAAGGGACCATTGGTCAGCTGTTAATATCAGCAGTGGGTGGTCTATGACTAGTATGAGAGGATTGCCTTTCTGGTACGAAAACCTGGAGACATGCAGGGCTTCATCATTACACACAATACATGCCCTATAGAAAATTGCTGATTTGTTGACTGATTCAGCCAACCTATCCATCTTAGGAAATGATCTGGGAACTGTCCCAGATTTCCTTCATGGACGTTTTCTTTTCTAATTAGGAAAGCTTCGGTGGTAAAAGAGAAAGACTACCAGGCCACTTCACCTCCTCTTTCCCATAGCTGCCAGATTTGGACATTTCCCCCAGTAGATTACTGCAAAAACTTTGAGTTAACTCATATGCATTAGAACAGACTGTCCTTGGCAGCAAGCTAATTAAATAGCAGAGGATGGAGACTATACAAGGTTAGAGTGGGATGAAGGCAGAGAAGAGTGGAGACCACAGTCAGAGCTCACCATGTAAATGACACTAATCAGTGGGTACTGGAAGTGGTGTTCTTGCTTGCTCATAGAGAAGACTGGACAGATCTGCTGGGTCACTGTTTACATTTAAGGGAAAATGTCTAGAGTCAAGAACATGGATACAGTAGATACTCTGTAAGGACTTTCACATAGACTTAGCCTAGACCACATCTCTCTTAACATGACAAAGTCTAGTAGCAAAAGTGTGGCTCGGCAGCCTTCGATTGGGGAGTTAGTCTAATCCTTCAGCACAGTCAGCTATGGCCCTGGGTGTGTTGGTCATGGTAGGCATACTGATTTTACTGAAACCAAATCCACCTGAGACCATTAAGAAGGAATGACTACCATGGGGAAGATATGTCTGCCTACAGTCTCCTTTGTTTACACAGCAAAAATGATAAGGGCAGTGCATGCTTCAGAAGAAAGACAATCAGCAGAAAGAGGCTCCAGATGTGTTATGTTAGTACCACCTTTGTGGCTTGATTTTCCCCCCAATGTGTATCTAGCACTTTAAAAATCAATTTCCAAATTTCATTATATACATGTATGAAATTGTCAAAGAATTCTTAAAAATGGGTGGTTCTGATGAAAAGGACTAAACTTGAGGTTTCACTGAAACAAAGACTGCATTTAGAACTGGTTTGCATGAAGCTTAGTTTAAATGTCCTGGTTGAAATGGTTCTCTTTTGTATATGCTGATGGTTGTGTGCAGGGTAATAATGATGGGTCATAATGGGTGTTCATGATACTTTTAAGTGCCTTGAAAATGTTGCATACATTTTTCTATGTAGAACCAGGAAAATGCGAAGCAGATGAAACACCCTCAAAATACAAAGGGACATATAAGTGGCCATTAACTGACCCTACTGAAACAGCCCAAGTAAGGTGCATTAAAAATGAGAATAGGAACGCCTCAAGAATCTGGTATGTATCTGTGAAGTTCCAAATGCTATTTTGTGTGCAGCAAGGTCTGCTCCATTTAGGGGGTGTTTCCATATCATTCTTTTAGTCCCTCTCCTTCACCCTGACTGCCAATCCTCTCTCTCTCTCTCTCTCTCTCTCTCCCTCTCTCCCTCTCTCTCCCTCTCTTTCTTTCTTTCTTTCTTTCTTTCTTTCTTTCTTTCTTTCTTTCTTTCTTTCTTTCTCCTTTAGAGTTAAACATGCAAGTATAATATAATATATATCTCAAGAGGACGAAAGAGAAAACTCACCCACAACCCCACCACCTCAACATAGCTGTTTTTAGGTTGGCATGTTTTTGTTTTGCCTCCCCCTAACCTTCAATCTGGTCCTTTTTTATGCCTTTAAGTTTTCTGTAGTGGTAACCATGGTTTACATACCAAAATGCAATTTATCCTTTTATTCAATAGTTTATAAAACATTTCCATGCTTTGCATTCATCTTTTTAATGGTCAATTTGAAGCCAGCCTCAGCTGCTATCTCGTTGATGGGCCATCATAATTTACTCCATCACTCTTCTATTGTTCAGTTTATCATTTTGCCCTTTTGAAATCATCAGCCTTCTTTTCTTACTCTCTGCTGTTAATAGTGGATGCCAAATAATTTAAATGGGCAAGAACAGAGGGGCTGCAGGTCTCAACAGAAGCTTAAGAGCACTGGTGGAAGGAAAGCCACATCTCTGTATCATACTCACCCCTGCTTCCTTCTAACGAGTCAACAAAGCAAGCAACTTTGGCAGCTACAGCCAGAGCTCATACAGAGCCTCTCCTTTGCAGCCCACTCCTTGGTACAAGCCCTTTACTATCTCTTGCCTACTATTGGAGTTGTCTCCATGCTTTCTCACAGTCCACTACTCCCCGACAGCATTTCACTATGCTACTAGCATGATTTTCTGAGGTCTGGCTGCTACCATGGCAGACTTTTGTTAAAGAATGAAGTCCAAACCTCTAGCATAGTCATAAGGACGGCAGGCTGCCTTTCTTGTCACTGCTTGGCTCTATCCCTTCACCATGTACTATAGCCAAAGAGATAATTTGTTATTGTAGACATGCCTGCCACTTCTTTGTGTCTCTTTCTCTGGCTGATGGCATCGGGAGGTATATATCCTTTCTGTGCCAGGCTCAGCTCATTTTAAATGCTGAAAGCTCTCCTTAACAAGCTTTGTACCTGTAGTCACACAACTCCAAGAGCCAAGGCAGGAGAATCATTATGAGTTTGAGATCAGCCAGCACTCTTTAGGAAGTTCCAGAACAGTCTGTTTACAGAGTAAGATCCTGTTTTAAAACAAAAACAAACCACAACAAACAACCTCACCCAACAAAACCCCACCTAAATCAAAATTCACCATCACTACAACAAACACAGACAAAGGAAGAAAGAACAAATGAAGGAAAGAGAAAGTCAATAATTTTTTCTTGTGTGGTGTTTTCATAGATTCAACTCTTTCTCATGTTTTATACAAGTCAAAGTGTAGGATCACTCAGTTCCAAGCTCCTAGTGAGATTTAAGACCTGTTTGTCTGTGTCTCCTGCTGCCATTCCCAGAGTCTGCGGTGTTCAGTGAGTGCATTGGCTGACTTGAACTGGCCTGAAGTATATGAGACATAGGTGAGGGTTGATTGTGAAGGACAGTGAGCTACAGACTCTGGTCCTTAGTCACTTGGAGACATGTATTACGTGCATACAAGACTGTATTCCAACGGGAACTTCTCTTTAAGAGGCAAGAGAGGAAAGTGATGGGAAGAAGTCATACCTAGACGGGCAAGGTCTCTTCACCAATTCTTGGTGAGCTGACTCTTGCTCTGCCCCATTCCTAGCTATTTGGCTTCCATCTGTGTTATTTAAATCCAAAAGCTGCCAATGGATGCAGGAAGGCATGCCATAGGTAAGGAGAAGTAACCCCCAATTTTCTTTTTTTATCAATTGATTAGTTAATGGTAAGTGTTACTCATTTTGAGACAAGGTCTTACCCTGTATCCCAGTCTGGTCTGGAACTCATTGTGACCCTGATGCCTCATTATAGACATGAGCCACTGTATACAGCTAGTACCATTTCTTTTAAGGCTATCTTTATTCCTTCAATGAGAACGCTGGATCATGCCTCTTGTTCCTCCATTCCATTTTTTCTTTGCAGTTCTATCAGCATGCAAACTGGCAAGTGTCAATGGGAAAAACCAAGGTTTAAGGAATGCAAGTTGCTTCAAGCACTCCCTGATAAGATTGTGGATCTTGCTAATATCACCATAAGCGATGGTAAGACAGTTTTATGCACATGAGAGAAATCTTGGGACCTCCCTTAATTTGCTGACTTGACCTGAGATACAAGAGAGTATATTTAGAACTCAGTCTATGAAAATTTACCTACAGAAACTCTGTCTCAGAAGCCATGTGCTTGTTGGTGGAGGTGGGCAGGAAGTAGGACTATTGGACTTTTCTATTTTGTAGACTTTCATTTTAAATTTTTACCATTATTTTCCCTTTCTTTTCCATATTTAAAAACTTCTAAGAACCTAGCCTCGTGGCACATTTCTATAATCCTAGCACTTGGGAGGCTAAGGTAGGAGTATCTTGGGTTCAAGGCCAGTCTTGGACACATAGTGAGAGAACCTGTTTCAAAAACAAAATAAAACAGTGAACACCCCCCACACACATACACACATGACTCCCAATTCAGGGATTTATCAATTATAAAGAAAAAGACTGCTCTAATGGATATTACAAATGTCACAATATTTAGCAAACAGAATATTCAATTTTATAAACAATTTGGGCAGTATAAATTAGTGCTAAGCATAAATTCTGGAAAGTGTGATTGTTTGAGTCAATCATGTAATGCCAAAATGCTCTTTGTAATAGTTGTATCAATTTATAATCTATTTCACAGGCTAAGGAAGTGCCTGGTTCAGGACACCTTCATGAACACAGCATGTTATCACGCTTTGGAGTCTTAGGTGATTTGATTAGCAAAATCTGATATCTCAAAGTAATGCTAAAACATTTTAGTGGTGATATGCACAGGTTCCCCATTTAGCAAATACAATCTAGTGGGTCATTTTATTCAATGAGGTTGTCCTTAGTAACTCTGTCATGCAACCATCATTGTGAATTCTATAGAGGTGATTCGTTACAAATGACCATTTCATTGTACAAAGAATGGATGCACTCATTCGCATAACCTCTCTCTCTCTCCCCACAGTTCCTCAAAAACATCAATCCACTTTTTACTTGTGTGAATTTTGTTTATTGTAGTCATCGCAAAATGTTTTTGAAGTTTCTTCATATTGCAGCATAGTCCAGTACTCCATTTTTAATAGTTGAATAACCCTGTATTAAAATTGACCTATCACATTTTACTAGTCACTCATCAATTTTGTTTGTATGTTGGGCTATTATTTATAGACATGCTGTGAATATTTGTACTACAAATCACTAGTTGACATGTTTTCTTCTCTTAGGACATACTGAAGAGCACAATTGTGAAGTCATCTGGTAACTGTAAACACAGCCTTTGAGGGAACTACAAAACTGTTTTCCATAGCTACTGAGCCATTTTTGCATCCCCGCTGACACCACTTGAAGGTTCCTCTCCTCATGTTGTTGTGAACACAAACCCATCTTTTAGTTACAGATGATGCCAGTGCCTCCCTCCACTCCCCATTCATGTATACTTTTATTCTGGATTTTAGTAGTTTATGTCTTTTCTCTTGTTGTCCTGCTCAGTCTAGAGAAGAGGATTTGAATTTTTCATAAAAATCTATTTGTTTAGAGGAGAAGCAGGTTAATAGCAATATCTAGTCTTGTGAGAAAGAGTCATGCCAGGTATAACCTATAGATCAAAATGGCCTTGAACTTTCAATGGTCTTGCCTTTGCCTCCTAAGTGTGGGGATTCCAGGCATATACTGCTATGCCCAGCAACAGCAACATTGAAGAAAACATAGAGACCCCCTCTGTGCTTGCCACACATGCATAGTCCTCCCTCACAGTCACAAGACAGGTAGCTTTGTTGAAGTGGATGACTCTCCCCGACACAGGTGGCACTTTATATTGGGGTTCACTCTTGACCCTGGACAATGTATATCTTATGGTCTTTACTGCTATGATAAAACAAAAACAACTTGGAGAGGAAAGTGTTTATTTCACCTTAGAACTCTCAGGCCACACTCCATCACTGAGAGAAGTCAGGGCGGGAATTCAGCATAGTAACCTGGAGGCTGGAACTGAAGCAGAGGTCATGGGGAGAGGATGTCTACAGACTTGCTTAGTCTGTTTTCTTACATAACCAGTACCACTTGCCCAGGGATGGTACTACTCACAGTGAGCTGGGCCATCCCACATCAATCACTAACTAAGAAAGTGCCTGACAGACGTACCTGTAAGCCAGTGTGATAGAGGCATTTTCTCAATGGATCCCAAACAACTCTAACTTGCATAAAGTTGATATAAAACTAACAAGGACAGTGTGTACTGGTAACTATAAGCATAAATGGGCATGGCATATAACCACAGAATCACACTGCCTTACAGCCTCCTTGTAGTACACTTATGCATTCCTCTCTCCCCTCTAGTCTCTGACACTCAGTGGTCTTTTTATTATCTCCATGCTGTTGTCTTTCCCAGGGTGTAACATGGTAGAAGTCATGCAATGTGCACCCTTTTCAAGTTCACTTCCTGCCCTTGGCAGTGCACGTTTCAATTCCACTATGTCTTGCTCACACATTTCTTTTTAGTACTGACTAGTATTCCATTGCCTGGATCTATGAGAGTTTATTTATCCATTCTTCTACTTGAGGACATTTGTTTTGCTTCCAAGTTGTTCTCTTGCTCCACATCCTCTGCAGCATTTGCTCCTGTCAATGTTTTGGATTTAGGCCACTCTAAAAGCTGTGTATTATTATGTCGTTGCTTCTTGAATTTGGAGCTCCCTAGTGATATATGGATTGAGTAGCTTTTCACATGCTTATCTGTCATCTACATATCTCTTTTGGTGAAATATACGCCATAGACTGAATGTTTCTGCTACCACCTCCAACCGGAGCCAAATGTGTATGTTGATATCCTAATCCCACAATGATTGGGGCATTTGAAATGTCATGAGTGCTGCTCCTTTACAAACAGGATTTGTGTTCCTCCAAGGGAGGGCCCAGAAGCCTTGTTCTTCTCTTCCACCATGTAAAGTTACAGTGAGAAAAGAGCTGTCTTTGACCCAGGAAGTAGGGCCTGAAAATATAGGAAATCTTCTTTCCTCATGGAATTTCAATTTCTGCATAACTTTGTCGATGTGGTTGGCTGTACTGCCAGATTGGGTCTGGGATTTAATGAATGTCCTTTATTTGAGGCCTAAGTACAACAGCACCTTCCAGAAGGACCAGAGGATTGGCTGGAAGACAGAGAACTTGTTTGGCTTGTCTTCCTTGTGGAAGACTCACATTTCAGATCCTTGGCAAAGAATATGTGGCAGAGTTAGAAAAGTCAGTCCAACTCTGATGTCTAGATGGGAAACAGTGCATCAAGGCAGGAGGAGGCGCTTCCGGCTGCAGGAGTGGGTGGAGAGACAGAGGGCCTGGCTCAGGCTGACCTCCCTCCTTCTCACTGACAGATTTGCTTTAGACATGCTAATAGAATTTTCTCTTGTGGGAGAAAAAGTCAACAAATAGCCACAAAAAGAACAAAAGTACTGCACTGGCTTGAGAGTTTTAGAAAATTAACTGAGAAGTTGCAATGATAAAGAACAGTTGGATGGATGGTGGCTCTCATGCATACAATTGTAAAGTAACTAGGGGGAGCCTATTAGCTTTGGAGGGATCCTCTTCTTCTTAAGTAGGGAACTTAACAACGATATGCACAGTGTAAAGGAAAGAAATGAATTCACATTGAAACAATTTATGTCCATTTCCTTTTAATTTTGGTGACAAAGACTGGATATCATAGTTGTAGAAAAACCCTATAGTTCTCCCATGTAAATACTTGCTCTTCTTAACTCCCTTATATCACAATATTAGAAAAAAAAAGACTTCATCTTTTCAGAGTCCTTTGAGTTCTGCTTGCTTCCCTGTTTATTTTTACATGTTTTTATTTAAGATTTTATTTTTCACTTTACATAACAACCCAAGATTCCCCTCCCCTTCTTTTGCCCCCTCCCCCCGGTACCTCTCATCCTTCCCAGTGGCACCAGGACCTATCTCAGAGGAATGAATTGGCTTTTTGGAGCCCATGCCTGTGGTGGGATACCTTGCTCCCCTGGTTTTGTTATCACCTGATACCATCATGGCAGGCAGGACAGTGAGTGATTGACAGAGAACACGGACTCGGGTGGAGGTCAGGAATGAATAAATGCCTAGCATGTGCAAGGCTCTAGGCTTCACCTCTTGGTCAAGGCAGAAGGATGACAAAGCTCCACCATTTCAACCCCCAGCCACTTGGAGAAAAGAAATGAAATGCCACAGGGGCTGTAGCAGGGGAATTGTAGGGGAAGCTGTAGCCCGCCCCTAAGAAGGCGTGGCTACAGCTTCCCCTACAGGGCTGTAGCAAAAAGTCCTGGTAAAGCACTCAAGTTCTGGAGGCAGAGAGGGTTAGATGGTTTCTGTGTCCTCACGTCTTAATCTGTGTGAAGGCGCTCATATGAATAATCGTTGTGCGAGGGCGTTAATGCTTTGCTGTTATAGCTCATCTTCAAAATGCCAAACATCATTGCATCCATTCCTTTTCCACCGGAGCTGGCTGCTTAATGGGGTAGAATTTTGACAGTAGAGTCCCTGTCAATAACAGGTCTTATTTTTAAAAAAAAAATTCTTCTCTGATACAACACATCCTGACTGTGGTTTTCCCCCCTTCCCTCCACTCCTCTCAGCTCACCCCTCCAACACACACCTCCCCTCTCACCCAGATCCACTCATCCTCTGTTTCCCTTCAGAAAAACAAACAAACAAACAAATAGATCTCCCAGGGATAGCAGCCAAACATGGCATATCAAGTTACAATAAGAATAGACACAGACCCTTATATCAAGGTGAAAGGGTCTAGTGTTTAAGAGGACAGGAGTGTAGGTATTCTTCTCCTTGGTGCTTTCTCACTTACTTTACTTCCTCAAAGAACACAGTTATTGTGTTTTTAAAAGTCCAATGGTATGCTGAGAAATATTTTAGTAGCCAATTCTACCCCTAAAGGGTAATTAATGATTTGTAGCCTTTGAATTTGCTATTTTTCTGATTTTTTTTTGAGACAGTGTTTCTCTGTGTAGTCATGGCTGTCCTGGAACTCACTCTGTAGACAAGGATGGCCTCGACCTCAGAGACCTGCCTGCCTCTGCCTCTGGGTTTAAAGTTGTGTGCCATCATGGCCCAGTGAAATTGACATTTTTTTATAATGTAATATTCTCATGGCAAATACAAACTCTAACACATAGTCAGTGAACTGTGAAGTCTCTGAGGGGTGGCGTACACAGAGACAATGGAAATAAATAGTACAAAACATATCTGTGAAGTGTAGCCAAATAAATGGCAGACGGTGTGCTTTTGAGAATCCTCATTGTTTTTAATATAATTTCATTAGAAGTTTGTATAATTTAAATTGAATGGTGCCTTCATTTAATAACCAGACCACAAAATATCCCAGAAACTCACAAATTAGGTTCTTATGAGCTTGCATAAGCTGGTTCTACTATGCACTGGACTCAAGCCACCTCTGAACCCAAGTCCCTGGAAAAGGCCATGTGGAAGAAGTGCCATCACAGCCCCAGGTGACTAGCACATGCTTAGCATCAATTGCTGGGTGTAAGAGGCACTTACAAGCCAGTCTAGCCTTCAGATGGGTCCAGCCCTGGCTTCAGTCCCATTGCAACTACTTGGGAAGTCCCCAAAGAGAATTGCTCAGTTGAGTGCACTCAACACACAGAACCACAAAAGATAATGATTAGCTGCTGTGTTAAGCTACTAAGAGGGGATGGTTTGTAAGGCAGCACTGGCTCAGAGAAATAGCATAGTAAAAAAAAAATCCTTATTGTTTTGATTGTTAAGATTATTGGCAGATTACCTGAAACAATATTTCAAGCAACCAGAATCCATTCTGCAACTTACAAAGGAAGATTCCTTTTTACTCTTGCATAGGAACCTAGAATTTTTTATGCAATGACTGTATCCAGAATTTCCA